ACAGATATTACTAAAAATTGTTACCACTATTTTTTTTTTTTTTTTTTTTTTGAGACAAAGTCTCACTATGTAGTTGAGACTGACCTGGAACTCACTGTGTAGTCCAGGCTGGTCTCGAACTCATAGAGATACTCCTGCCTCAGCCTCCCGAGTGCTGGGATTACAGGCGTGAATCACCACTCCCAGCAATTACCACTATTTTTAAAAAGGAAACAGAAGAATGAAGAATGCATCACAGAAACTGATTTTTACCCATTGTTCTCCGACTGGTTTAAATCAAGAATCAGCATTTACCTTCCATAGTGCCCTTAGATATATCAGTTGGCCTTGTCTTTCTGCAATAAAGAGTTATGTATGTGTCATGAAGACCTTGCCTTTTTTATTCAATTTTGGGTATAAAATGGTCAAATATATAAATGTGTGAATTCAGTGGTTAATGCATCATTTCACTGTAGTTACAAACTGTTCATCAATAACAAATTACATTTAATTTACATATAAGAAAGTTAATACAAAAAAAGAAAGTTAAACTTTTTTTAATAAATTATTTCACACAGGTATATGCTTATGAATCTATTTAATTGTTCACACTGTTAGAGAACACATATTTTAGAAAACAAAACATTTCATTAGATTCAGTTGCAACAAAGATGATTTCCAATGGTAATATCTTACATTAACCTGATTGGTGAAAAAATTTATCAGAAAAAGGAAATTCTGCTGCCACATCTGTGTATTATGTCAAAATTGAGTTTTAATTGTTTTAAATTGTATCATTCTCTTCAAATTGGTTTCATAAATATTAGATTACATTTTTAATAATTTTATATAGTTCCAGCACATGTTATCCATATCATTTTTCTAAAGAAGATACATAATTGACCTATGCTTAGACATATATTTTCTCTACACAGTGAAACTTTTAAAAAGGAAAATGGCATAGAATGTGCAAAAGCTCTGGCTCTCCCAAACAAAGCAAAGCAAAGAGGATGTTTAATTATGCCTCCAGATTTTTACTGTTTGAGTTTTACTTTCTTTTCTTCTCTATTCTTTTAAATGCTAAAAATTATGATCTTAAGGAAGCATGTTCCTCAGATAAGCATTAAAATATTTAATATTTAGATTTGAGGAGTAATTGCCTAATAAAACATTCTTTCAATTTTTAAGGGGAAAGTTAGTCTTGCACTGATTTTAAAATTTGGCCTACTGGTAATAAGTACACTAACTTTCTGGATGAAATGGAGAGCTTCTCAGGACCAAGCTGCACAGTCAGCAGTGACTTATGCTAGTCGGGGTAGCAGGAGTCAGGGGTCAGGGCTGCCTTCACCATCTTGTTCTCTCCCCTGTATGTGAGCGGGACCACAGTTGTGTAGCATTTGTTCCTGTCATAAGTGTAGCACGTCTCTGGCTCTCTGTCTTCCCCACAGAGGTTGCTCTGCGTGGCAATAACTACCTGATTATCCAGCTCCACTTCTACAGGATCACATTTTTTACAGCTGAAAAACAAAGGAGACACATTAGTAATTCACATTAAATACTGTATCAAAATATGAGTGACCATATATTTCTACCTAAAATCAGTGAGCTTTTATAGCCCTGACCTGTACTAAAAGATGATTCCTTTTGGACCTAATCAACTGTATACTACAGAACAGTTTATTAGCTTTTTCAACCTTTAGTATACAAAAAGTACTTAAAAGTAAGCTATATAATTAATATGATAATGTGATTAATCGTCTTACCTACAGAAGCTACTCTTGTGTTAGGTTTATTCCCAACTGTATAGTTTGTTTAAATGAGAAAATAATATTTTTAGAAACTATTTGATTCCATCATTTCCAAAGAAATATTTGCATGTTTATAATCTGAAATCTATTTATTGAGCTATTAATATGAAATGACCCTTCCTGTATGAATGACAATAGTTTCTTCTTTAGAATAGATGTATAGCTATTTTTTATCTGTCATGTTTCAGTGAATGTGACCCCTAATACCATAGGAATGTATTCAAAAGTTCAGTTACTTGTAAATGTTTATACTCCAACATATTTTCAGAAATTTCTAATAAGGTTAATTAAAAGGTATTAACTTCCACATATCTATCAGTATGAAAGAAACTCTCTTACATGTCAGACAAACGGTACGCAAAAGTGGTTCTCCGTGGTGAGGTGGGATCAGAGATATTCTCTCTGCTGTTCACAGGAACACTAAAAGAGAAACAAACAAAGAAAAATAATGGAATACAGATATTGTTATTTGATATAGGTATACTGCTAGAACAGCATTATTTAATTGGAACAGTATTTATCTTTACATTTCGGCACTATAGTAATACAGTGGTGCCTGGGTTCATGAACTCAAGTCTCTCCACGATTCTGACTGCAAACTGAACTAGATGGGGACTTCAATCAACTTACTCATAAGGTCAATATTGAACCTAAGCACTCAATTTGATTTGGTTCTCGTCCAACTCAGTTTGTGACCAGAATCATGGAAAAAACCAAAATCATGAACCAAAGTACCACAATACTATTACTCAGTTTTTACAGTCATTTTCTATACTTTATTTTCCATTCAACATAAATCTCAAAGTAATTCCTCTGTCAACTATCTTTAATAAGCCTGCAAAACCTTGGCAAACCCTGCCAGCTTGTATTACTTCTTTTTTTTTTTTTTTTTTTTTTTTTTTTTTTTTTTTTTTGGTACCAGAAGCCACAGCTCCGACATGCCTCGGCCATGACAATGTGCAGGAAGTTGTAGAATAATTTTATAATGATGTAAATAATAAAATAAAAACGACTGTATACTATTTGAAGGCAGCTTAGGAAAAGCAGACTAACTACAGCGACAGTCAATTTTTGTTTTCTTCCAGACTTAAAAAGGAAAGAAGCCAGAGTGATATGACTTTAAAAATATATAGTTGTGACTATTTGCAAGGCAGGTGACGGAACCACTGAGCTAAATTCCTGGCCCTCATTTTACTTTTGTGATGATTACCTTGATCATATTCCCTTCCTGGATAAACATTTCCCCATGTAGTCTCAATGAAGCTCATCTGTACTTATTAGAGCAAATGCCTGAACATAGTTGTTTGTCACAGAACAGTTGTTTGTCTAGGCTACATAATTTCTTTGAGGTAAAAATGTCTATGTAGGGCTGAGGAATTAGCTCAGTGGTGTAACGCCTGCCTCGCAAGTGCAAAGTCCTGAGTTCAATCCCCAGTACCAGAGGAAAATGTCTTATGTATTCCAAGTACCTAGACAGAAATGTGATGTGTGGAATATGTTCAATACTAGTATAATGAACAGACAGGCAGATATGATTAACTAATTTTAAATACGTACAAATAATAAATGAGAGAGATTACTGACCTACCCAAGTTCCTACAACAATTAAGAAATAAAGCTAAAGAAGAGGAAACATTAACCAGGCTGAAAGAGGTGGGAGGAAAACTTCTTCAATCAGAGGAACCAGTAGGCATAAACACAGAAGAGGAAGAAAGCACTGTGAATGAGGAAGCAAAGACACTACAGAACTGCTGGATTTTTTAACATAAAATAAAAGTGGCAATGGATAATCTTGAGAAGTCATGGTAAGCTTCGTAATTTAAGTTGGGCATTCGTAACATATTCTAAGAATACTGGGGAAACCACCAAAAGGGTTTCAAGCAGTATAGTGGTATGCTGGTAAGTGGCACATAGGTTAGATGAATAAATAAAAGCAAATATTAAAAATATATAATAAAAGCAAACATTTTAATATATGCCAGGAACTATATAAGCTCTAAATTCTATACAAGCTCAATATTCTCACAATAATCCTAGGAAGCAGGCACTATTTGCCCCATTTGAAGATGATGAAGTTTAGAGTGGAGAACTATTTTTTGCAAATAGGAAGAGGGCCATGGTGGGAGACATAAACAGAATTAAGATGTGTTACATATGGAACCAGGGATTTAACTCAGTGGTTCCACTGCCTGCCTCGCAACCACAATTTCCCAAGTTCAATCCCTGGTACCAAAAACAAACTAACAAACTAACAAACAAAATGTGTTATGTGCTGTACCCACTCCCCATGTTATCATTATGTATAATAAACATGTATTAATAAAAATTAAAAGTAGAAAAAAAAATAAGAGCACATAGCTGTTCAGTGACCCAAACAGAAATTGAAACAATACTCTTAAACATATTATTCCTATCCCATTAATTGAAAGAGATTGAATCTGTGCTCTGTTTTTATAAAAAATATTTGATTGGAGGAAAACTATTACGGTAGGAGTGTCTAACAAGAGAAATTTATTACCGAATGGATCTAATACAAATCTTATTTCTCAATTGTTACTGGCATTCTTGCTGTTGAATAAGAGCTACATAGGATATGACTTGGACCGTGTGAGAAATGAAATGACTAGCTCAAGTCCAAGCTACCAGTGAAGACCAAGTCAAATTAGTCAAGTTGATCAGTGTGTCTCATCTTATGCAGACATCTGAATATAGCATAAAATACTCAGTATACCATACATGGTATAAAGTAAGGCTTTTAGTGTTATCTGAAGTTTCGGTTTGAACTGATCAAGGACAACTGAAAGTTCTGCTTCATGTGAAATTACTCCACATAAACAGGGGACAGTGATGAATGCATCACAACCTTTAGCTGTAATCTGATCTAGCTGTCCATTTTTAGGGTGTCTGAAACACTTCATTCCTGCCCTCAACTTCTTCAAACTTGCCTTAAGGTCAAGAACAAGATTCAACCTCATATAGGGTGCTACACATCAAGAAGGGGAGAAAACCTGGGCGTGGTGGTGCTCGCCTGTAATCCCAGCACCCAGGAGGCTGAGGCAGGAGGATCGCTGGGAGTTCGAGACCAGCCTGGGCTACATAGTGAGTTCCAGGTCAGACTCAACTACATAGTGAGACCCTGTCTCAAAAAACCAAAAAACAAAGAAGGGGAGAAAAAATACAGGTATTACATTTAAACAATGTTTAGTAACAAAGTATCTCTGCCTACAATGGGGGGAAAAGGAACTATGGAATGTCACCTACATAATTCGGATATTTCTCTCCACAATGTAGTCATTAGGGTTTTCAGAGGAACGGATGACCCTGGAAGTAACTCGAACACACTGACATTTATTGTCAGCAAGGATGATCCTTTCCTCTTCATCTTGAGCTTGGAAGATAAAACATGATGAAGAAAGGAAACCAAAGTCAATTTATATATTTTATAATTCATTCACTTTTCTTTCTTTTGTGCAGAAAAATGTTTTATTATTCATCAGTACCAGCTTTTCCATTTGTTTTCTTTCTAATCTAAAATAGCTAAGTGGACTCACATCACAGTGAAGGAAATCCAAATGTACTCAAAAAGGAGTTTTCTCTTTTTTTCATCGATTAGTCCATGGAAACCTGGCTGAAAGCATTCTGATTGTCCTCTAATGGTTCTAACAGAGGCACAGCTCTTTGAATGATGTAACACTGTAAACAACAGTGTCAAATGCCAAATTAAGAGAGAAAACAAAACTCTGTAGTTTTCCCTAGCCAAAGCAATTAATTCAAAAGTGAAAAAATAGCATTAGCCTTTATAAACTCCATTCATTCAACTCTCATTTGTAACAACAACAACAAAAAAATCTTGCTTATATTACATTAGAGTAAAAACAGGCAGCTTTACCCCAAAGAAAAAGTGTTTCTGTAAGATATTTAAATATTCTCTACAATTTTCCTAGTTCCATTTTTGTAACAACAATCAGATAATAGGACAATTGTTCTATTAAATAATGAGTTGCATTAATATTTCTTATAAGAATTATTTTAAAGGATGGAGATATAGTTATAAAATGGTATAAATTTGCAAAAACAATTTAGAAAATATTGTGAAGTACACATTCAATTTAATATAATATGCCAACACACAAAAATAATGAATAAATGAATTAATACACAGGTAACCATTAAAACCTTAACATTGAATGTCAACATTTATTGTCTAATCTAAATGATACACAAAAGCTTCTGGTTAGCATTTTAAGGAATAAACCAAAAAATTTCTTAATAGACTTGGAGCAATTAATAGATACTTGAGTTTATAATAGTATTATTCAATAATGCTAACCATTAGGTTAAAGGCATTTTTATTCTTATAATTTTAGCTATATGGCATTTAAAACTTCTTCCTGTTAAGCTTCAAATTTAAAAAAAAAAAGATTTAATACATGAAATCAAGTTATAAAGGTTATATGGCCAAGATGGATATTATTCTAAGTTCAAGGCCCGCTTGAGCTACAAAGCAAGGCTCTGTCTCAAAAAAACAAACATAAGCCAGTGTGACGGTGCATGCCTGTAATCCCAGCACTGGGGAGGCTGAGGCAGGAAGATCACTGTGAGTTCGAGACCGGCCTGGGCTACACAGTGAGTTCCAGGTCAGTCTTACTACATACTAAGACCCTGTCTCAGAACAAAAACAAAAACAATAAACATAAAAAGAAAAGATAGATCATTGTAACTAGAAATCTAATCTAATTATTCCTGAGTTGATTCCCAGAGCACAGAGAACCTAACTGCAATATTTCAGCCATTACAAAAATACTTTTAGATCATTGTAACTGAAGCACTTTGTAATAATTAAGTCATTATTCAAAGTTCTCAATAAATCTTCTGATAAACTCTACACATTACTGGAGAATACAATTCAAGATAATGACATAACTCTTAAAGTCTTCTGAAAAGAGTAAAATGATTCAAATGGGGTCATCTTCTCTACTTCTATATTCATAACTCTTATATGTTTTTCTCAATGAAATATAAATGAGTATATAACGCCTGACCAAAAATCAGACTGAGAGTCAAGTAATGACTTGATTATTGAGCATTAAATGAAAAAAAAAATCCATGTTTTATGATGAATGCAATGTATTTCCTTAACAGAAATCTAGGAAGAACTTATCACTACTGTTGTTATATAAAAATATTAGACAGGCTAATATATCCACTGGAAGATGTACAAATACTTTCTATTCATGAAGATTGAGATTTTAACATTCTCTTACCTAAAGGGTGAATTTTTCCTGATAAGCCTGCTATTAAGGATTTACATTACTTTATTCCAAGAGCATCTGAGACATAGTAGGTACTCAGTAAACACTTGTTAAATTTAATTTAATTCATTCAAATAAAAAATTAGAAGCAAAGCATGGTGGCACACACCTGTTATCCAAGTGCTCTAAGAGGCAAGGTGGGAGGATTACAAATTCCAGCCCAGTCTGGACAATCTAGCAAGACCTTGTCTCAAATTTAGCAACTTATTAAGATCTGTCTTAAATTTAGCAACTGAGCAAGATCTTGTCTCAAAAAGGGGTGAGGAATGCAGTTCAGTGTGAAGGCCCTGTATTCAATCTCCAGACAAAAAGAAAGAGAACTACATAACAATGTATGGTAGATATAACCATAATGAGTTTATTAAAAGATGGTTCCTTTTTGGGGGGTGCTTTTTGTTTTGTTTTTTTGAGACAGGGTCTTGCTATGTATTAAAAGATGGTCTAAAACTCACTGTGTAGCCCAGGCTGGCCTCAAACTCTAGGTGATCCTCCTTCCTCAGCTTGCCTAATGCTAGGATCATAAGCATGTGCCGCCATGCCCAGAAAAAAAAAGATGGTTACTTTATGCAGGAAAGTAGAGGAGTATGGACTATATGGTCATATTTCCTGGATACTACCTATCACTTGCTGCTGTGTGACACTGAGTAAATTATTTCACCTAATTCTTCACTGCTTCAACTATATGTTGCCATAATTTTTTTGGGGGGGGGGTATTGGGGATCGAACTTGGGACCTTGCACTTGCGAGGAAGGTAGAGGAACCACTGAGCTAAATGCCTGGCCTACTTCAACTATATGTTGAAAATAATAATAGATCCTATCCTCATAGGTTGTTGTGAGAATTAATTTATGTAAAGCTATTAACACATCAAAACAATATTGAATAAGTGACAGATATTTTATACACAGCTATATACATTTTACACATGAATGCCTAACAGGTATATAAACATGTCTATGTATGTACATATTTACATGTTTAGGTGCATATAAATATACATGATTTATTACTAAAATGTTTATCTTTTAAATATTATTAGAACATTATTCTTGATGCTATTAGTAAAAAATATATGACTATTAGTCACATTTCTGTCTGTCTAAAAATAAGAACAGGTTCATTAAGTGTTAGAAACAATTCAGTCAAATTATATCATTTCTAATTCATATGCATTCTAGATGAAAATTAACACTATATTTCTATATTCAGAATGTATTCATTTTCAAACAGATATTTGAAAGATCAATAAACAAAATATTACATAGTCATTAAATTATAGACAACCTGATTAAACATTATTAAAGGATCATTAAATATATCTTGGGGGGGAGCTGAAGATTTAGCTCAGTAGTGCTGCTGCCTGCCTTGCAAGTGCAAGGACCTGAGTTCGATCTCCAGTACCAAAAAAAAAATAGATAGATAGATAGATAGATAGATAGATCTATCTATATGTGTGGGCTCAGATCTACCAGTCTTGGCTGGGGATTTAGCTCAGTGGCATCGCGCCTGCCTCGCAAAAAGCAAGGTACTGAGTTCTATTCCTGATGCCACAAAAAAAAAAAAGAAAGAAATAATACCAGTCTTTCTGGGGAAATAAAATCATAATGCTTTCTATAGTCTACTTACAGTAATTATTGCTTCATTTCTCTTGAATATTAATTTAAGACACAAGGAGCGATTACCAATTTTTAAGATGCAGTATGGACATTCACTTAAGTATGGCTATAAATTAGCCAAAAATATCTATTTTCCTAACCTGTAGGTTTGTGATAAGCAAACATCTAAGAGACAAGAAGAAAGAAGAATAATAATACTGGGTCTAGGGCCCAGGATTTAGTTCAGTGGTTCTGCCACCTGCCTTACAAGAGCAAGAACCAGAGTTCAACCCCCAGTACAAAAAAAAAACAAAAAAAAACTGAGTCTCATCTGTGTAATATCACTGCCCGTATAAAATTTAAAGCATGTTAGAAGTAGCTGGCTAACTGGGCAACCAAAGACTAAACATAAATTTTTACATTTGAAAAACAGATCTATGCTATATTTTTCCTTTTATTTGGGCTTTTTAAAAATTACCTGTCACAAGAAGAGTCTTAACAAAAATGGCCAGGACTCCCCAGAAAAGCACACGGTTCTTCATCTTGATTTCACTTCTTTTGAAAACTGCAGCCACTGAGTCAGGGTTAAGGTGTGTGATCGCTAAGGAGTGTGCAAATGACGGTGCTTCTGCTTTCTTAAAATAACACTCCAGGCAACTAACAAACTCAAAACAATCACAACTGCGGTTGAAGCCGAACTTTGATGCCCACAGTGAGAAGAAGTATATGATTCATATTTAAAGTACCTTCTTCTAAAGCATCCCAAAGAGGCCATGATTTAATGCAACTATTTTTATTTTACATTTATGCTACAGAAATATATAAAGTAGAAGATCAAAAATAATATCAAATCAGGAGGCCACTAAGCATGTTTAAATAAGGATTCTCAAATTTATTGTCTACATGTATTCATATTAATCTTCAAATCAAGCATCTCGCATTTGTTGTGGCTGAAACAATAAATGAAGCAAAGGGAAGGGAAGGAAAAGGAATGAAGGAAAGGAAGAAATGAAAGTGGCAACTGCATCTTGAGTCAATTTTTTCTACTACACTTAATTAGCTAAGCTACATATCTAAATATATACTCAGATTAAAGTAATTTTATAACATTCAAACATGTCAGAATTAGAAACTGGTGGATAGTGAATGAATCAGTTCCATATTTTAATTTCATAGCATTTAGGCAGGTCTGTGTTTTCCCATCTAGTAATACCTTTCAGAACTGTAAAGTTATGAAATGATTTTTATTTGAGATGCTTCACAGAAAACTGAATCACTGAAGTATTTTGTTTAAATTTTTTTCACTTAATTAATGTCAAGTTTTTTAAAACTGAGCTTTTGGATAGATACGCCCTACCCCCACTCTAACATGCTAGAATTTTCTCTTTGAGTCAGGGCGGGTTCCAGGAATATGCCGGTTACATTTATATGCAACAGCACCAAATCAGTATTACTTTTGGTTCTTAGCTCTAATTTTTAAAGAATTTAAGAAGTTATAAATAATACTTCCAAGATCACAAGCAAGCAAGCTAGAAGTATAGAAAATGGAAGAATAAAGGAGACACAGTATTAAGGTCAGCATATAATTATATTCCTTTAAGAATATTTATTTAAAGTGTAGCAAGAACAAAGTACCAGGTAGTGAAATGTGAAATATTACTTACTACACCATCAAAGTTTACTCTTATTTTAATTCCTACTATCAATAGGACTACTTGCATCTAAGAAAAATATATTGGAACCATATGAACAATGTTATGTATTAGAAAAAGGTAGTAAATGCTTGTGATCCCAGCACTCTGGGAAACTGAGATAGGAGGATCACAAGTTTGAGACCAGTATGGGCAACTTAGTGACTGAACAAGAACTTATGTAAAAAATAAAATAAGAGCTGGGGATGTAGCTCAGTATAAAGACCCTCGGTTCAATCCCTTGTACTACAATAAACAATAGATAGCAGTAATCCAATTGATTATAATATATATTAGACATTAGATTCTGATGGACACTGGACATTAAAGTTTGCAAGCCAGTGGACTAGCCTGGAAGTAGGAGGGACAGGTAACTGCCAGCCTTAACTATTTACAAAAGAGCAAGAACGTAATAATTTTTTGAAATAGGCTCAGTACTGAAAACAAGTTAGCTGAAATTTCCATTTATGTTTCCAAACCTGTTATAGGTGTCCTTTTAGCATGAACTAAACAGATGTGTTTGCACTTGTGTGTATCCCAGTTTTTCATCTCCTGTTTCAGTTATGTTCTTCCCACAAAAAAAATGCAAAGTGTGAATAGAACCCTTTACATGCAAGTGAGTTAAGTAACTGAGAACATAGCTATGTACTCTAAATTCTCCACCAAAATTGCTTTCTTTTTCTACATTCATATTTAAGATTCATAGAATAAGAAATTTAGTGATAGACTCATCTGGATAAAAGAGATCTTAAGGGTAATTTCATATCAACTTATATTCTCCCTCAAATTTTGTTTCTATTTCTAATACAACAGACAGCCTGAGTTCAGTGTTTGTTTGAAAACAGCTAAGCCAGTTGGACACCTCATTCCCTGTGGGATACTCAAACCATCTCAGGACAGAAAGAATATACTCCCATGCTTTCCCTTCTGTCTCCCCGTATCCTGAGTCTCACTGACGCTTTCTCTAAATACTAAAGGAAGCGAGGCTTAACCCTCAGCCTTCTCTTTTCTCTCCTCTTCAATTTTATTTTATCCCATGTCTTTATTTTTTTTCTCTTGTTGAGTTTATTGGTACATTTTAGGTATAAAATACAGTTATGTTCATTATTGGGATCTTGTACCTTTACATGACAAGTCTTGGTTCTCATTTTCTCCCCTTACTCCTGCCCTCCCTTCATCCCCTCCTCCCCTCCCCATTTACAAACACTTTTTTTTTTCCATTTTTTCATTTTCTCATATTTTTTTTCTTTTCTCATATTATTACCTTTCCCCTATCCTTCTCACTTTGCCTACACCTTTAGCCCTTTTCTTCCTATTTCACATTGTCAATTGTATCATTAGGATCTTATGTACTATTATAGTTTTTCACACCAGAGAAACTATTCAGTATTTACAAGTGTGATTTATTTATTTCACTTAGGAGTATATCCTCAATATGCATCCATTTTCCCATGAATGAATCTAATTTCTCATTCTTTATGGCTGAGTAGTATTCCATTTTATAGAAAAACCACATCTTCTTTATCCAGTTTCCAACTGATGGGCAAACGGGCTGTTTCCAAGTTTTAGCTATTACAAACTGTGCCACTATAAACATGGGTGTGCATATATCACTGTGATATAATTCTTTTTATTCTTTTGGAAAGATACCCAGCAGAGGGATGACTGGGTCAAATGGAACCTCTAGTCCCAGCTCTTTGAGGTATCTCCATATTGATTTCCATAGTGGTTGCACCATTCTGCACTCCCACCAACAATGGAGGTCTCCTTTCTCCCCCACAACCCTGCCAACATTTGTTATTGTTTGATTTCTTGATAGAAGCCATTCTTTGTGGGGTGATGTGGAATCTCAGTGTTGTTTTCATCTGCATCTCTCAAATGACCAGTGATGTGGAACATTTTTTCATATCTTTACTTGCTGCTTTTGCTTTTGCTTCTTTGTCTGAGAAATTTCTGCTCATTTCAGATGCCCATTTTTGATTTTTGTTTGTCTGTTTTTTTGAGACAGGGTCGCACTATGTAGTTGAGACTGACCTGGAAATCACTATGTAGCCCAGGCTGCTCTCGATCCTCCTGCCTCAGCCTCCCGAGTGCTGGGATTACAGGTGTGCATCACCATGCCTGGTTTCAGATGCCCATTTTTTAATCAGGTCTTTATATTTGGGGGGGGTGCTTGTTTTGAGTTCTTTAGACAGCTCCAGCTGAGGAGCAGCTGGTAAAAAATTTTTCCCACATTGTAGGTTGTCTTTTAGTTCTGTTGATGGTTTATTTTGCAGTGCAGAGCTTTTTAATAAGATGAGATCCCAGTTGTTGATTCTTTCTGCTAGTTCCCGTGCTACTGAGGATTTGTTCATAAAGTCTTTTCCTATGTCTATCCCATGTCTTTAAATGCATAGATCTAGCCTTGCCTTTGCCCACTGAGCTCTACACTCCTATATCCAACTTTCTCTACTTGTCTAACAGGTAACTAAAACTTAACCTCATAAAACAATACCAGTAATGACCCGTCCACCCTCATGCTTTGTCTCAAGACTCCTTCATCTCAGTAAAGGATACCTCTATCCACCTGGTTGCTCAAGCCAAAATCTCCTGCTCTGACTCCTTCTGCTCTTCTCTCCCATATCACATCAACCACTATGACCTCTTGGCTTACCTCCAAACTATAACCCAAATTCATTTCATTCTTCACTGCCATCCTCATCCAAGCCACCATCCTCTGTACCCAGTTACAATAGCCTCTAATAGAAAGTAACTCTTCCTCTCCTCCCCATCCCCCCCACCATCCCCAGCACTGGTGACAGGGCACAGAATTGACAAAACAACTAAAGAGATCCAGAGAATTCTTCTACCATTTAATAAGAGGTAACAGAGAACGGACTTCATGACCACCACCCTACCACTCCCATGCTCCCACCTCCAGTCTTAGGAGACTTAATGAGGGAAAGGGAAGTCTCAACATGAGCGCTGGCCTGGTAAAATAGCACTGCGTGGAGTAAGAGATGCCCCCACCTTCACCCTTGTAAGAGTGGAAGGTAGGGTACTTTCCTAATCCCAAAACCAAGAGAGGAAGAATATTTAAAAAATCACTCAAGTAGATCAGGGACTCTGAAAGAAGGAGCATCAAAATTAAGAGAAATGGCTCTGTTTGTCTCCCAGTGCTTACTCTCTGTGTGTCACTGACCAAAGCACTTAATTTCTGAGTCCCCTTTGTCTATAAATGAGGATGATAACAATACATACTTCGTGAAATTGCTGAGATTAATATGTGCTTCATGTGAAGAAGTTAGAACAGAAGTTGGTACACAGTAAGCTATATTCATTGTTGCCGTGGTCGTCGTCATCATCATGTCCGAAACTCCCTGTTGAGTTTCAGAAAATCCAAACCTGACCAGCTGCTGCCATCTGCAGTGAAGCTTAGGAAAGCATCCCGAATGAGCCTGAACTGTCCCGCGGGTGCTAGTACACAGGAATCTAGAAACTGACGCCTGCTCTTGTTAGTTAAAATAGTAATAAAAACATCCATAGTTTTTCTAACTCGAGGTAGGTGGGGAAGGAGTGCTAATTTGATTGCAATAGGGTAAAGCTGGAAATAATCTAAGTGTCTATAAACAAACTAGGGTATACTCATTACTAAGCAAAAAAAAAAAAATGAGCGAATTATTGATACACATGACATGAATTAATCCCAAAATAATTATTCTAAATGAAAGAAGCCAAAAACATTTTCAAATGGCACCTACATGATTCTATATTGTTATATGTTTGTATTTTTTGTAGAATATACAAAAAATCTATAGGGACAAAAAGTAGATTTCTTACAAAAATAAAGACAAAAAAGAGGGGAGAGGGTGACAGTATAAAGTGGTTAAGAAAATGGTGGAAGAATTCTCTGGCTGTCTTTAGTTGTTTTGTCAACTCTGT